ATTATTGTTGGGAGAAGAATAAGATTGGCGAAGTGAAGGAGGAGGAGGAAGGTGGAGAGAGAAGGTGGAAATTGTCATTGGTTTTGCTGGTGCATATCTTCTTCTTCTACTTCTTCTTCTTCTTTTTCTTTCTCTCTCCTCTGGTCTTTATCTCTTTGCAAGTGCTTTCATTTCTTTCGCAATTGGGTGGCATCGTCTTTCATTGTGAATTAGCACTTGGGAAATGACCAGGATTGTAACACATGACTAAGATAAGTTTGTGGTCGTGTACCTTAACGACATTCTTATCTTCAGTAGGACCGTCGAGGAGCCCGCAACACCACGTGGACCAAGTCCTAAGTCTCCTACGACAGCATCAGTACAAGATCAACCGGGAGAAATGCCAATTTGGTCGCACCCGGATCTTGTATCTAGGTCATGAAATTTCAGCGGAAGGGTTAAAGCCCGATGACGCGAAGGTGGCAAGCATTCGTGACTGGCCACGTCCTCAAGCCGTGACTGAGGTGAGGTCCTTCTTGGGTATGACGGGCTACTACCGGAATTTTGTGAAGAATTACTCTATAGTGGCCTCGCCCTTGTCGGATCTCACACGCCTTGACACCCCATGGGAGTGGACGAACGCTTGTGAGGCTGCTTTCAAGCAACTGAAGCATGCTTTCACTCATCATGAGGTCCTCAAACTACCCGATCTTGACAAGCCGTTCATTGTATAGGTGTCGTCCTCGCGCAGCAGGAGGGGAAAAAGTTAATGCCTGTAGAGTACATGTCCAAGAAGATGCCCTCTCATAAGTTAGCTAAGTCCACTTACAAGGAGCTGTATGCGATATACAAGGCGCTGACCCATTGGAGGCACTACCTCCTTGGGCGATTCTTCTACGTCAGGACTGATCATCAGACCTTGAGGTGGATGAGGACGCAGCCTGTGCTCTCTGGTGCATTGAAGCGGTGGAGCGAAGTTATAGATCAATATGACTTTGAGCCACAGTACATCAAGGGGGAGTACAATCGGGCTCGAGGACAGTGTTATGCAGCCTTTGGCGGAAGCCTATGGAGAGGATCCGTTCATGTCTGAGATTATCCGTAGACTAGGGGCTAACGATAAGGTCACCTCTGACGAGTTTACTATTGTCAACGGCTAGCTGTTCCTCGAGAAGGCAGGGATGAAACGTCTGTGTGTGCCTAGTAGAGAGTCTTTGCGTAGTTTATTTTTAGGTGAGTGTCATGATGCCACCGACCATTTTGGGTATAAGAAGACTGCAGCCAACATGCTGCAGAGGTTCTGGTGGCCCACGATGATGAGGGACGCCAAGCTGTACGTGGAGACTTGTCAAGTTTAACGAGACAAGCCCCGTACACAGGCTCCTTTGGGGCTCATTAAGCCCCTTCTGATTCCGGAAAGGCCTGGAGCGAGCTTGTCTATGGACTTCATGGACACGCTGGTCACCGACAAGAGCGGGAAACACCATGTCTTTGTCATCGTGGATCGGTTTAGTAAGTACGCTAGGTTAATTGCCATGCTGGAAACAGCCAAAACCAAGTATGTAATCAGAATGTTCAAGGAGAACTGGGTCAGGGATTTCGGCCTACCTAAGTCCATTGTCAGCGACCGGGATGTGCGGTTTACCAGTGATCTGTGGCAGGCCGCAATTGCAGAACAGGGAACCCAAGTGCAGATGACTTTTGGGCATTACCCAGAAGCCAACGGACAGGTGATGACTTTTGGGCATTACCCAGAAGCCAACAAACAGGTGGAACAGATGAACCGCACTGTACAACACCTGTTGAGGCATTACATCAAGCCTAACTAGGCGGACTGGGCCGAGAAGCTTGCTCTCGTCGCCAGTCTGTACAACAACGCAGTGCACAGCTCGACCGGGGTTAGTCCTAACAGCCTGCAATTGACCTTGACGCCTAGACTGCCTCTAGACTTCCTACTTCTTGAGAATCAGTCCACTGTTGCTCCGAGTACATTAGAGTTTGCATATAGATATGAGAAACTCATGCAACAAGCAGTGGAACATATGCATAATGCACAAGCGGCGATGATTAAGTCTGAGAACAAACMCCACCGCCAGTCTACCTTTCAGGTTGGGGAAAGAGTCTGGGTAAAAGCTTCTGAACTTGGGCAGGAACACGGGATCTCACGAAAGTTGATGCCACAATACTTTGGGCCGTGGGAGATCCTGGACATAGTTGGGAATGATCCTGATGGTATGTCTTATGTGGTGAAAATCCCCGGTCACTTGCGCACTCACCCTGTATTTCACGCCTCCAAACTTGCACCTTTCTTGGAAACTGATCAGTTTCCTTCTTGCCGGTCTATGCTGCCCCCAACCATGGATGGAGAGGTCGATATCGACGACATTGTTGACCACAGGGAGATGCCAGTTCCAAGACCCACCAGAAGGGACGTCCTCCAAAACCGAAGCTGCAGTACCGTGTTCGGTTCAGACATCACACAGATCCAAAGGAGGACCAATGGTTCACCAGGGAAGAATTGATGCAGACCGGTCCTCAAGTCGTAGCTCAATATGAAAAGTCTCTGCAGAAGGGGAAGCGCCAGATTATCGAAGATTGAACTTTTCAGAGGACTTTCGAAGTATGGAGGAGGGAATGCGAGGCTAAGCCCCGATGAGCCTCTTGGAGGCCCTGGTTGCAGTGTCGTCGGCCGCCCTAAGTGAAGGTAGGCTCGACTTGGCCTACTGACCCCCATTTCAGGCCTCCCTGCATTACTGGTGGTCCAGACAGTTGCACGACGTCAGTTGGTTACGAGCGACCAGGCCCAGGCTCCAATTTGCAAATGTATCTGAAGTGCGTCGTGGGCCAGATTCAGACGGGGACCAAACACAGGCCGTGGGCAGTTGGGTACGGGCAACTAACTCAGGCCCTGGGCCTCTTCTGGACGCATCCACTCGGGCCTACCGGAAGCTTCCGGGTGAGGACTAGCGCAGACAGGCCGCCGCAGCAGAAGGCAGGCCACTCCCATTTAATGAAAGGGCCTGCCTCCCATTTTCAATTGGGGCACTGGCCGCATGCTGTGCAAGCGCTACTGCGCTATTTGCTGGCTGGTGCCCACGCTCTGACGTGCGAGCAGGGTTGGGCAGCGCGCAGCCATAGCCAAGCTGCATGCGCTATTGTACACTGGATGGGCGCATGGTGGTCTTTGGGTGCACGTGGCATTCTGTGAGTGGGGGATCGAGGTTGTGAGCGAAGCGAGAGACGGACGGCATTGGCCGGGAACTGTTCGTACCTGGGGGAAACTGTTGATGTCATCATGCGACATTGTAGATAGTAGGCTAGATAGGATCTGCCATCTGTAGTCTGGGCGCCGAGCGCCAGATAAGAGGTTCGACATTGGTTCGTCGTTGATGATGATGAGACTATTCAAACATTGTCAATTGTGAGCTTGTGCTGTGCTCTTATTTGGTGGGAGCTCGTGTTGCAATTCTGCGTTTGGTTCGAGATCACGACTATCTGGACTCATGTGTATGATGCTGTTTGATTTTTGGAATTCGCTATTGCTCATTTATCTTGCGCTTGTCTTACCTGTGCTTAATTGGGGTTGATTGTTACTGATTCCATCACTCAATTTAACGAGAATTTTGTATGAAGATTATGATTCTATCTACCTAGTTGTGAAGGTGACTACAGTCACTCCGTTCAGTCTTGGCGAAATCATTCAAAAGCATCAACACTTGCCCCCTGGGAAACAAAGTCATTAGTGGCGACTATGCATCTTTTCGTTGGTGTGATGCATCATTAGAATATGCCTTAGTCAGATCAAATGAGTACCTTCGCAAGTTTCAAACCGAACGGATAGAGTCCCAGCTCAATAATGCTTTACCATTTGTACGCTCATATTTTTGGTGGGACAAAAGGGAAGGACCTATCATAAAGGGAATACCCATGTGACTTCGTCCTTTCTGGTTGATGGGGAGGAAGGGGACAATATTGAAAAGAATTGCCTACCTCCTCACTAAATTCCTTTTCGACAGTGACTGATTGGTTCTACCCAGGTGGTTTAAACTGTAGGTGACCTGAGTAACCCAATCATGCCATGCTAAGAATAGACGGGAGGGGTGATCGGAACTCTTGTCTTCGAACATATATATATATATATATATATATATATATATATATATGTGTGTGTGTGTGTGTGTGTGTGTGTGTGTGTGTGTATGTATTTATGAGAGTTTTTGTTGGTGCGAAGATCAGAATGGGGTACGGGAGTAAGGGCCCCACTGACTAGATGAGTGGATCGTAATTGGGAAGTGCTTTGTGCTCTCGTGTAAGCCCCTTTTCCAAGTGAGTTCCCAAAATCATTCCTCCTGACTTGTGGTCTCAGGGTCTTGTCATGCTTGGTGTATGGGCAGTGAGGCAACTTATCAGTGTACTGCGCAGTGCGCATACAAGGGTTGTGCCAGCTGAAGTTTTCAAGTTGACGCTAATGTCAATCTGCTTAACCCAACCTTTGGGGCGGGTTCCTGGTAATCGCATGTACCCGCTGGAATTAATTGAAGATGTATGTGTAGCGTGTACATATTTGTCTACTCTACTCCGTTATCTAGTTGGATTTACCTAGTCCGCTGTCGAGCGCATCGGTCCGGCACCGCACAAGGGCAGAGCGGGTCAGGCTCTCCCACTATCAGCTTCCCCTCCTTCTCCTCGTCGATACTGCATGGCCCCACAAAGGCGCTCTCTTTCATCTGTCGTATCAAGCTCGTTCCCGTTCATAGTATACCTCTTCATCTTCGGTAATGAGAACGGGAACCGGGCGGCACTTTTTATCTATCGTTTTGTACCGCCTTTGGGAACCCTGCTTGATCCGTCCCCTAAAAAAGGTTGACTTGCTGCTCGCGCCTGTGTCTGTGCCATAGCAGGATCCTGTCTCCCCATTGGAAGCCGATAAACCAACTCCATCTCCCCTACCTGGGGATACTCCAGGACTTGTTCCCTCAACGCCTGAATGGGGTCCGGGTCCGCCATCTCATGCGTAGCTACTATGTCCATGGCCTTATTCACGTCAGACAAGCTGAGTGAAAACGCCTCTCCTCTTACCTCTTCCTCAGGTTCTGCCATAAGCTACTATGTCCATGGCCTTATTCACGTCAAACAAGCTGAGTGAAAACGCCTCTCCTCTTACCTCTTCCTCAGGTTCTGCCATAAGTCTGTGATGCTCATCTTCAGACTCCTCAATGGTGAAAGAGCCAGGATTGGGCCTGTTCCTTATGCTTATTGGTTCAGTGTTCCGGCAGGTAATTACCTCATAATTTCCGCACGCTGGATCACATAAGATCAGGATTAGCGACCCGTCATGCTTGTTGTACATTAGGGTCTCTGTCCTGCACAAAAAGGATCTCCCTAGGAGAATGCCATGGTCCACGTCTGGCATTATGAAGAAGCAAGCTCTTGCCTTTACCCTTCCAATCTCCAGCAGTACATTCGAGGCGGTCCCGCAAAACACAGCCTTGTTGTTGGCCCCATGCAGAATGCCGCAATCCGAGCGGTCTATTTCCAACCCAAACCTGATGGCGTCAGCTTCTCGGATAATATTCATCTCGGCCCCCGTATCCACCATTGTTGCGCACTTGGAACCTCTTACTACTAGGTCCACCATACCGCATGCCACACACTTCCAGTCCATCTTCGTTCCTGGTTCTGCCCATTCCATCTCCTTTGGCAGAATCACACTGAGGTGGACATTCGGTACCAACCGCCTCGACAGTCTACCTTTCAGCTCATTGCGGAGCCTTGGGGCGGACGCCAGGATCTCCTTGAGGGTCATAAGATCATTATGGCCTCCAAGCAGCCTGTCGATCACCCTCTCCACATCAAACCCTTCCTCTAACCGGACTGCATACTTCTTTTTCTTGGGCGGTACATCGCGCAGGACCGGTTCAGCTTCCTCCCGACTTTCCCTCTTCCTGGCCCTTTGCTCCGCCCTTTGATCTTCTTCTTGACGCAACCTCTCATCCTCTTCCTCATCCTCGTCGTCATCCTCCACTTCCACCGTTTCCTTCCTTTTTTCTGGCTCAGGTCCCTTTTGAGGAGGCCCTTGACTCGCACTGGCCTTACCTTGACCTCGAGTACGGGCTGCCTGCGCCAGCCTTCCTTGCGGTGTAGGAGGCCTAGTCATCATTCCTGACCGAGGGCATGACCCCACGGTGGCCACTCCAGGTCGTCCTGGCATGGACTCTGGGCCAGAACCATAGAGGAAGACCTTGGGGAGATTCGCCCTCCACTCTTTCACTTCGTCGCAGAAACCTACCAACTTCCGTTGGTATCTCCCCACTTTGTCCAGCAGCTCTTCCATCTTCCCCAGTAGGACCGACGCGGGTTCTACCCTTTCCTCCTCGCTCTCGTCCTCTGACTCGATGATTATGGGTTTTTCTCTTATAACCCCTGCCCGGAGCCTCTGGGTCACTTCCTCATCACTCCCCACCTCTTCTACTCTAATTGGTGGGTCCTCTCTCTCCTGCCACAACGGGAACGTGACAGGAGGAGCTTGTCGTGCCACCACTCTCCGTTGGGCCTCCGCCCTTACTCTGCTAGGGACCTTTCTGCCGATATATTCTCTGAACTGGTCATATATGTCTCCATCCATGCTAGAATAGATCATATATGTCTCCATCCATGTTAGAATAGATCAGCCTCAGTCTCTCATCTTCCCGCCTTGTATTGCAGAACCAAATGGTGTGACCTTGCTTGTCACAATGCTGACATATGGCGGTTCTCCAATCAAAACGGGTTCTTCCACTTCCCTGGCTCCCTTGACTACCTTGGTTACCTTGATTCCCTTGGCCCTGGTAACCTTGATTATCCCATTGACAACCTCGGCTACCACCATTCCTGTCGCGTCCCCTCCCACCGCCTCTCCCTCCATTTCCTTGATTCCCTTGGCCTTGATTACCTCCAGCCGCCACACTACCCTATGAACTTTGTGCTGGTGGCGGAGGTGGCGCTGTGTGTTGAGCCTGAGCGGGGGGGTAGCTTGGAGGCGGCATACTTGTTTGGGGCCCAGCGTATGGCACCACCTGTCCAAGTGGGGCCGGGCTTCCCCAAGGCACATATGTATTGAATATGTGCCATGGCCACTGCCCGAATGGCGGCACCGGTGCTTGCGAAGGGCTCTCACTACTTGAAGGGGTCGACACACTCGGGGGCGCGGCTACCAGTGCTTGGGGCACCTGCCCCTTCCCAGAGCCTTGTCCTCCGTGCGCTATGTTGAGTTGCTTACACTTCGTCTTCGAGAGGTGTTGGGGTACTGGCTCCTCTTCTTCCCATCCTTTTTGGACAGCTTCCTCTACCAAGGCCTCCTTTGCTTTCCCCTGGACTGCCGTCACCACCTTTCTCTGTATCACTGCGTCTAATTCTGCTAGTACGTCGGTGACAATCTTTTTCGCTCCTGGGGTCCCAGACGCTGTGGCATCCCTTTCCTTCCTCTTCTGCCTTTGTAAATGCACCTAGTGCTGCTCCACTTGGTCTAGGCCACCCCTTTGTCGATGGTAGCCCAGGTGAGCTTCGCGCTTCCTCCCCCATGGCTCGTCAGCTATGATGCCTCCGATGCGGTGAGCAACCCCAGGAGATAGCGCACTGCGCCTCTTCTGACATTCCATGCACTTTCCTTGCCCTTTTCTTGAATTCCTGCACAAATGCCCCGATAGTGGTGAAGTCGTCCTTGTTCATAGCCTCAAGTCTGTCGTGCTTAGCAGACCATCACCTAGCCTGTACTTCCTTTGCATCCCTTCTCTAAACCTGGCCCAATTACCATTGGCGTCGTTGACCACTTTCTGCACCTCCTGATGGTGCCCATGAAGTACATATTTCATAATTCGCTGGAATTTTACTGTGTCTGCTAATCCCACCAGCGCTTGGTCCACCAAGTCCAGCCAGTCGGACACTCGTTCTCCTTTGAAGTGGAATGTGTCGACTTTCAGGGCATTGCTTGGCATCCTTTCTCGTCTGTCCAACGCCTTGATGAAATCATCGAGGGTCAGTGTTTTTCCCGAACTATCGCCTATACCTCCCGACATTCTGGCCGTCTTTCTTTCGCTTAACTTCCCTGTTATAAGAAAAGGTAAGAACCAAAACTTCACTCAGCCTCTTACCCCATCACAATCCAAGTGAAGTAACCACTTAGCCCCTAAGCATTCCCAACTTAGCTGACCCTACTCTTTTCATTGAGCCTTCCCGCATAATCATCTCAATCACCCAAACAGCCATACAAAGCCTCATACATTCCCTCTTATAGGCTTATTCAGATTTTTCCCACACATGCCTGATTTCCCCTTACTCTATTACCCGGATGTCGTTCCACCAGGGACAACGGTAGGCAATCGTTATCCCCGGCAACGGCGCCACCTGTCGAGCGCATCGATCCGGCACCGCACAAGGGCAGAGCGGGACCCTCCCGGCCGCGTCACACAGGAGTTGGAATTAATCCTCGTCGCAAACACATACATGGAGCTTCCGCAAGCCGCTCCGACCGAGTGCGCCAGCCATACCTCTCGCGAGCCCCTACGACAGGATAGGGCTTACGCGAGGCACGACTTACCTCCACCTTACGGGAGTTGTCACCTCCCTTCGGTTAGCGTATCCCTGTCGAGCTACCAGTCCACAATACGAAGGTTGATCATATGCAATCGCAGAGGTGGACCAGCCGAGGGCGTTTCTCGTTCGCTGTAGCATAGGGGGTACGCCCGGTACTACGCCTCTACCGAACCCGCAAGCGAACCGACACCTGCGGGGGTTGAGGTCCCAAGCGCGACTCGTCGCCGGTCGACTAGGACGCATCCCACACGCCACGCGTATACCACTTTAAAGAACATAACAATAAAACACACACACAACATACGCACGAAACGACACAACACAAACAACGCGACAACACTACTAGTCCCTTAGTAGCCATCCCATAACTATCCGATGCGGGAATCAGATAGGCGTTTGCGCGCGAGACTTAGTATAAAATCGCGCGGTCGCAGGGCCTATTCATATCGACTCGCAATGGAAGCGTACGCAAGCAGTCGCAATGATGGCGTACTATGTAGTGCCCATGACCAAGCGGTCCCTCATGGATCCGAGTACCGCTTATGACACTCAAGTGTCAGACTCCAAGTATCGTGAGGGTCTACTCCCTCACGATATTGCACGACTGAAGGAATAGCCGTGCGGCCGCCGCGAGACCTCAGGCCTTCGGCATGAGTGTCTCGGCAGGCAAGGCAAATAGGCTCTGCGCGGGGGAAAACTCCTTCCATGCAGAGCTTAGGGCTTGGAATGTCCTGGACAAGGACCTTGAATCCCGGCCCAGGACCAACGTCCGACTGGGAATTTATTAAGAAGCATACAATCAGAAAGAAGGGGTTTACCCTCTCTTTTCTTAACCCCAACCGCTACTTTTACCCTTAATACGCGGGCCCCTCAGGCCATGTGGATTCCCGACATAGATACGCATATTTATATATATATATATATATATAATGGGGATAAGTATGTGATGATCACTTCTCACAATCACAGTGGGGCTCCTCACAACCATATATATATTTGTGATCGCAGATAGTCAAATCCAAATTCCGAACCACAGAACATACCTGCAATTACATCAAAAGTCCAACAAAGTCCACGCACTACACGGAGTCAACCCCAACCACTCTTTGTACTCATACCCCTCGCTTTGGCCATGCAAGGTCCAGCCTCCTGTCCAACCAACCGTAATTAAATACTCAGTACCTTTGTTAAATGACCATTCAATAAAAGTCCGGGTGAAACCTCAAAAAAACAATAAAATCGCCAAGGCTAAAGCCCTTTAGGTTGAGTATTGAGCGTGAGTTGGAATTGAGTCATAAACCGACGAATCGGCAACCGACCTGTTATCAGTGATAACAGAAGGTGATCCTTGTAGGATCAAAGCTGAATCTAGCCCCAAATCTTGAATCGACTCGTTCAAGAAGACATGTAACACAAAACAGGCCAATCCCCAAGCTAAGCCTATAAGTTCATGGAGAATAATCTTCATATCACGATCTCACTCAAATCACCCTATTCAACTAAGCTCGAATCTACCGCTAAGCAGTGTCCAAAGCAAGGGTAGACCCTGGCATAATCTCCCCTACACAGAGTGGATCTCAGGAAATCGCCACCTGTCGAAATATAATCTAACTCCTCTAAGTTAGGAAAATTTCGGTAGCGTTTCCCGTTGGAAAAGTGCCATCCCAGAATTTGTACTAGCCCAAAACTCAAACTTTTGGATTATAGAAAGTCAAAATTTGTCTAACTCCCTGATTTAGCAAAAATTTGGGCAGCACTTCCTTTAGAAAGGACGACTTTCCAGATTTGTACTAAGTCAGCTACGAACTCAAACATAAAATTTGATCTATGTTAAGACAAAAGTTAACTAAACTCCTTAGATTTGTAGAAATTTCGGCAGCGCTTCCCGTAGAGAAAGCGCTATTCCAAGATTTATACAAAGCTAAGTTTATAATTTAAAATGACTTTGACTCTTCAAGGCCCAATTTTGTCTAACTCCCTGAATTAGTAAAAATTTGGGCAGCACTTCCTTTAAAAATGGGGGTTGCCCAGATTCTTACTATGTCAAAAAGCCAATAAGACTGGATCTTGAAGAAGACAAAGTTTGACTAACTCCTTGGTTTTGTAGAAATTTCGGCAGCGCTTCCCGTAGAGAAAGTGGCTCACCAAGATTTATACAAGACCAAGTATAAATAAAAGATCCCAGAAAATGCAGAAATCGATCTAAGTAAAAAAACTTTGCTCAGAAAATGCAGGAATTGAAACTAACTCCTATGGCTCTAGCACATGGCGAGCAACTAAAGAAACTACCTACCAAGCTGAAACTTAGACCAAATAGTCATCTCACTCAACCACATGCAAGTCAAACCACAAAGGTAAGTACCCTCACTATCCCAAGTTGCTTCACATTAAGATAGTTCATGAATCTTTAGATGCGTCAACCCTTATACCCAACTTACATATGACACAAATGCTAGACCATTCGGCTTGGAAACAATGTCCAGCGTGCCTTAGGATATACACGAACAGGTTGCACTACTACTTTTCTCTTCTTTGGGCATTTGGCTAGACCATTCGGCGTGGAAACAATGCCTAGCCGCCCTGAACTGTTTAATATCCAAAGTTTAATAGTTCTCTGACTTTGCTCCCAAAAGGAAAAAGCAAATATGGGCAGGGGACTGAACCATTCGACTTGGAAACAATGATCAACTTGCCCAGTCTATTTCCAATTATAGTTCGTAATTTCCCTTCTCTTCTTAGTGATATGGCTTAACGCTGGGCCATTCGGCTTGGAAACAATGCCCAACTGCCAGTTCACATGCAAATATATGTAAGATACTTCCTTTTATACTCAGGTTGTACTTATGTGCGTGGTTTTCAGGCTAAGCCATTCAACTTAGAAACAATGCTCAGCCTTCGACCAAAAATCCTCCCTCAGAATGAAACAAGAAAACCCTCTCATATCAGGCACGCCCTCAGAAAATAAACATAGCAACCAGGCCATTCAACTTAAAAACAATGCCTGGCCCTTCAGAAAATAGTCAAATAAATACAGCCCTGGGCCATTCAGCTTAGAAACCATGCCCAGTCCTTGGTTGACCCGGTCAAACGCATGCAGTCTGCCTTCCTCCCCCCTTTCCCCCAGTTCATCCCCTTGGTCTGCTTTCAGTCGAAGT